CGGGAGCGCCACCGTGCTTCCCAAGCGGCGCACTTATCCAGTGTGCCACCGGGCCGGCCCAGGACTTCGGTATCCCTAACGCCACCTGTGCAGAGAAAATCTGAAGCTGACTGCCAGTACATAAAGGGTTGCTAGAGAAAGGAGAAGCGATAAAAGAAAAAGTAATCATCCTCGATGTGTTATTACTTCTCACATGCAATAAGGCTTTCCTATTGTGGGGTTAAGAAATGGTTAGCACAGGGCCGGCCCGTGGCTCACTCAGGAGAGTGCGGTGCTGATAACACCAAGGCCCCAGGTTCGGGTCTCACATAGGGATGGCCAGTTCGCTCACTGGCTGAGCGTGGTGCTGACAACACCAAGTTAAGGGGATAAGATCCCCTTACCGATCATCTTTTAAAAAAAAAGAAAGAAAGAAATGGTTAGTACAGAAGACAGGGTCTTAAACTCCACTCTGCACAAAGATCACCTGAGGAATTTGATTCTTGTCCCCACTCTGAGAGTCTGAGGTGAGGCCCAGGAAACTGCATTTTCAACATACTTTTCAGGCTGTTTTGATGCAAATTGTCCTGGATCCAGAGTTTGAGAAATTCTGGTAGAGTTGAATCCCCTTTAAATGCTGGTATTGAAAGACAGAACCACCTTCTACTACATGGCACATATAGAGGCATTTTAGGAGATTTGATTTTAATAATGTAGCTGAAGCCCCATTATTACAAGGCATGGATTAGCAGTATTTGCTTGATTGCCAAGTGTCCAGTCTTACATCACATTAGGTATCAGGGAATTCACACATATTCCCCATTCCTACCAGGTTCATCAAAGGACAAATATTAATTTTCACACAGAGCTATGTCACTGCTTACCTTCCCTTAGGGCACATAAAGATCCCCCAAATCTATTTTTGATCTCTTCTTAGAATAAAAGTTAGATTTTTACTAAGAAAATCTCATGCTATAAAGATTTTAAATTTGTACTTAACAATCCACATATTTCTAAAAATGTTATGAGATTTCAGCCAAGAAGCAAAAGGTATAAGATCTCTTATAAATACCAATAATCTTGGAAACAAACAAAAAATAGACACCAATGAGAAAAGCCTGTCCTTGACCATGCCTCTTCCAACAGCTTCCTAACTTCAAAGCACACCCCAAGAAATTGTTGGGGATGATTTGCTAAAATCAAGCCAACAGGTGCTGTGGAAAATAATCTGGAGTGTGAAGAGTAAGGCTTGAATTTTAATGAGCACATGGGCTCCCTTTAAAAGCTCTTCCAGGAAGACATTATTGTGCTATCACGGACAGAATGGGCTCACATCTGGGCTGTGCCTCATCCTGGCTGTGTGACCATGAGCAGGTTAACGTGACCATTTAATTTAGAAAGAAAAGAGAAGAAAGGAAAGCAAGGGGGGGGGGGATAATAAAATAATTTAATTAATTTGAAGTCTTTTTCTTAAGTAGTTAAGAAAATGTAATATATGAGATCACAGTGGTGAAGTTTTTTGACTTTTAGTCAGAGAAATTCAGTTTTAAAACGTGACTCAGCCCCTTAGTAACCTTGTGACTTTGGGCTGGTGATTTAAAATCTTTAAGGCTGGACTCCCCATTTGTTAAATGTGACCAACATAGAGATACTACGAGAATTTCCAGGAGAAAGAGTATAAACTACTTGGTATTAAGGTCTGAGATAAGATAAGCCCTTGGTCTGTGGTAGTTGATATTCATCTTATTAACTCATTATTACCATTATTATTTATTAACAATACCGAATGGATCAAGGCCCTTGAATGTTCCTTTCAAGGCAAACTTATTTTGGTCTAAGTCTCATAATTTTGCAAAAGGTCCAATTACATGATCTTGGCCTTCTGGCAAAACAACTTTATCAGTCTCAAAAGTAACCTCTAAACTCTTTTCCAGATCTCTGGAGGCTGCCCACATAATACTTGGCTCCTAAGACTTGGAATGATAGTCATCTTTGTGGAGGGGCCCTGCCAGCTGAATTGGAGACCTGGCACACTGGCTACAAAGTAAGTACATCTCCAGCCCTTTGAGTAAGAAGGTGGGCACAAAGTTAACCTTTACAGTTCAAATCACAAACAAATGTCCATACTCCCAAGAATCCATTTAATTCTAGTAAAATGTGGGTCTTGCATACCTCTAAAGAAATAAAAATATACACAGATTCAACTCAATTATTCAGGCTAATAAAAGAAAGACTTATATATGATATGCAATTAGGTAACAGTATGCAAATCTTAAGCCAAGACTTTCCTTGAATTATCTTTTAGAAACAATCAAGAATTGTCTCCATCAATTACTTCCAAAGGGAATAAGGAGGAAGTGTAATTCTCATCTGCTTCCATGCAGCTAAAACATCCAGGTCATGGGGGAAAAAGAGTGGAGAAAGTGGATGTGGACGATTCTGCTATCTCAGACCCTCAGAAGTGATATTTGGGAAGAGGACTTGGGAGTTTCTGCTCCCCAGCCTGACCTTGCTATTCCCAACACATGTTGTCACAGTTAGTGGCAGCTCCTTTCTCAGAATGACTACCTTTCAGAGTCTTCTGAAATCAACACTGGTTTTAGATTTTTTGAAGTGATCACTAATCCAGGAACCTCTAATTCATTGGAAGACAGTCATACATACTTATAAAATCTATGCATTATGAACATTGGAAGAGTGGGATTTTCTATAATGGTTGACCAACCACATACTGCACTAGTTAATTCTGTTGGTGAAGAAGAGTTTTCTAAAGCTTCTTTATCAAGGGAAGCAATGACATAAGACCTGTGCTTTAGGAAGATTAACCTACAGCTGTGTATAGGAAGGAGGGGGTCGGGGGGAGACAGGAGGCTGAAAGACTCAACAGATTGCCTATTAAGGGTCTTAGGAGGATGGCAGAGAGGGCAGGAGTGACAGTGTCTGGGCAGAGGATGAGGCCCAGCTACCGCTGCCTGTCTTCACCAATCTTTCCAGCACGTAGCACATGACCTGGTCCTAAACCAGTTCTGAATGTGGAAGAACAGAGGATGGGTAGGAAGAAAGTGAGGGAGTGAATGAAGGAAGGAGAGAGGGGGATAGCGGGAGAGAAAGTATTAGAGATGATGTCCATTAGGCTTTGGGAACTTGTGCTGAATATTCTTAGCTTGTAAATGTCAATCCAAAAAAAACTAGAGTGCATGCATGTAAAATCTGGTAAAATCCAATGAAGATCTGTTGTTGAGCTCATTGTATTCTGCCAGTTAGGTGCTAGCATTGGGGAGCACTTGATGAAGAGAGCACAGGACTCCTCAGTACATGTCTGGCAACCTCTTGTGAGTCCATAATTAGTTCCAAGTAAGAAATTTTTTAAAGCTAATACAAGCTGTAAAACACTTTCAATCTCTTGTCTGTTGGACAGCTGTCCTGTGTTTCTTCTCTTTGCCAGTTTACCAGGCTGAGTCAGGACAGGACAAAATGTCAGTGAATCTGCCTCAGTTAGGAATCCCAGTCTCAGGGACATGCCCCTGAATCTCCAACATTTCTCAAAACCCGGTATTTCCTAATCTCCCACAAAGAATTGCCATCTTTTCTAGATGTATCAAAGTTTACGAGTTTTCCATTTAAAAACCTTTTTAATTCCATGACCCAGGGCATTAAAAGAGCTAAAAAAAAAAAAAAAGTTATTATCTTTCTATTTAAATTTTCTTTTAAATTTTCTGCATCTCAGATTTGTTCAAATCATTAAAATTCACCATATCTTACTCTGCAGTCCACACAAGACATAATTTAATTCTGCTCTATTTACAAGTCTACACTAACCAAGTGGTACTCAAGGACTGCAGGCTTGGATATTATTCAGTCTTTAAGAAAACGCCACTCCATGTGTATCTTTCTCTATAACCAATTTATGGCACCTAGACATCCAGTGAACACCTACTCGAGCATTTCTTTCTTTCTCTGCCTTTCTCCATCTCTTCCCGCCACCCCACCCCCCACTTTCTTTCTTAATTTTCTTACCTCAAAAACCACATTATCCTTATTATACTGAACAATGTCCATAAAAAATCCCGCCAGACTTTCTAGGAAATAGGCTCTGTCTAGTTCTGAGTTAATTTCAAGAGGGTGACATAAGCTGTGGGAAAGAAAACACAAAAACACAGTTAAGTTCCATTTCACTTGAATCTTAAAACTCAAATGTAGAAAAACAGTTTCCAATGAATGTTTACACGGTGGAAGGAGTTGCGGCCATTACTTTTAAGTCTCCAAAATGTCTATGAATAGGATTCCGCTCAGCATTTGTGTAACATGCTGTTTTCACAATGCTTCCATTTAAACCAACTCATTTGACCACAAAAGTCATACATTCATCCTTAAATCTTAAAATTTGAAAACATTTTTATATTTTATCCCTTAAAGAGTACACTGAGAAGGAGAAATCAGATAAAGAAGTTTGGCATGCCATTGATCAACTTGCATGAATTTTTTTCTAAAGTTTATTTCATTTTTAACTGAACAAGTTGTATAAGTTGACATGTTATGATGGTATAGTAGTTTTGTTTTGTTTTGTTTCATTTGGCAGCTGGCCAGTAGGGGATCTGAACCCTTAACCGTGGTGTTTTAACACCAAGCTGTAATCAACCGAGCCGACCATCCATCGCTTGATGGCACAGTCTTAAATGCTCTGTATATCATTAATTCTCCCTGATTCTCTTTTATATCTGTCTGCTAATTTCAACCACCTACTTTGATACACAAAATCCACTTTTCTTCAAAACTCTTAAAATACTATTAATTCTTACTTACCACCCTCTTTTTTTAGGATTCCCTGATTATATGATAAAATAAGTGTTACTCATATAAAATGTTTAGAACAATGCCTGGCTCAAAATGAGTACTTAATAAATTATGTCTATCATTATTATCAATAAGTCATATTTGCCACCTCCCTTTAATGCCTTTTAGAAGCATGATTTTTTCAATTCTTTATCTTAGACTATTAATTTTTATTTTTGCCATTATTTAATATTTTGCTTTGTTTTTAAATCTACGGCAAAGAAAACAGGGAAAATACCAGAGCAATCTCCCATTTTTAAAACTTGTTTTGAGAAAAAAAGATTTTTTTTTTTTTTAAAAGATGACCAGTAAGGGGATCTTAACCCTTGACTTGGTGTTGTCAGCACCATGCTCATTCAGTCCATAACAATGTCCTAAAATAGTGTGTGAAGCAGGTCACCTGGAAGCCATCATGACACCCTCATGATCATGTCCAAGTAAAAATGCTCCCTTCTCTGCAGCTCACTTGGGGCTCTAAGTTCTTATTTCTGTTATTCAAGGCACAGCTGGGTAGGAGCTGAAAGTCACCCTTTAAAAACCATGCTGTATTTAATCTTTACCTGTAAGCTTCTGGGTTTATTTCTCTCTGCTTTCGGTATATGTAAAGTCTGCTCTGAGTTTCCCTTATCTATGTTCAGATAAACCAAGCAAATGGGACCTGTGGGCCAGAAATCTGAGCAAGGGAGAGCTGGCTTCCCAGAGCCACCCTACAGAGAGAGCCACCACTGGAGGGTGAAACATGCGGGTCCAAGCCAAGCGCACTAGGTCAGCCCCAAGCCCACTTGTAGCATTTCTTTCCAGGTTAAATCCTGACGGGTCAGTGGTTATTATTTTAATAAGTTAGGAAGTATTCACTTCCATAGTCCCTCACCTTTCTTTTCTATTATTATTTCTACATTTATTTTCCTTGTGCCCAGTTTGCTGAAATATCCTGAGCATGTTTCCTGAATGTTGGTTGTTATGGGTAAAATTGTATCCCTCCTAAAAACATATATTGGAGTTCTAACTTCTAATGCCTTGGAATGTGAACCTATTTGGAGAAAGAATCTTTACAGAGGTAATCAAGTTAAAATGAGATCATTAGAGTGGGCCCTAATCCAATATGACTGGTGTCCTTATAGAAAGGGGAAATATAGACAAAGAGAGACAGGTATGGATGGAATATGACGTGAAGACACACTCACAGGGAGAACACCATGTGAAGATTGCAGTTACGCTGCCATAAATCAAGGAACTACTAGCAGCTGGGATAGAAGCATAAAACAGACCCCCACCCAGCCCACCCCGAGCCTTCAGAGGGAGCACGGCCCTGCCAACACCTCAATCTCAGACTTCTAGCCTCTGTTCTAGCCTTCTGTTGTTTAAGCCACCCAGTTTGTGGTCCTTTGTTATAGCAGCTTAGAAATACATTGGTGAAATAGGTTGAGTTGGGTTCTTATTGGCATTAGATTATACTGACCTTGCTTTATTTATTGCAGTATCAGCCAGTGATCATCTGGGACCTTTATGGTTGATTGGATCAAGAAACTCCAGGCCTCAAAAGAGGGAAGACTGAACAGGACCAGGTGGACATTTCAGAGACCAGCCCCAGAAATATTAATCACAAGGTAGGAAGGGATGGCATAAAGACAAAATTGTAGAGACAACAAAATTATAGAAATGGAGACCAGAACGGTGGTTTCCAGGATTTAGAGAAGGGGGCAGGGTGTGACTGTAAAGGGATGACACAAGGGATCTTTGGGGTGTCAGAGCAGATCCATATCTTGATTGCTGTGGTGGTTACACACATCTGTATGTGGGATAAAATCACAGAACTATGCACGTACATACAGAAAAAATGAGTGTATTCAAAATTTGATGAAATCCAAATAACATCTAATTCGTTTTATTGTTCTAATGTCAGTTTCCTAGGTTGGATGACATATTGTAGTTCCGTAAGATGTTAATTACTATTGGGGGAAGCTGGGTGATAGGTACACAGTCTCTCTCTGTAATATTTTTGCAATTTCTTGTGAGTCTGTAATTCTTTCAAAACAGAAAGCATTTTACCAAAAAGAAAGCTTGGCTGGGAGACAGATATAGAGGTCTTAGTTCTTTCACTTCTATTACCCATGTTGCCTCAGCCTTTGAATTTGGTGGCCCCAATTTAACTGCTTGTTAGGTTAATATCATAGTTCAGAAAGTGAATATTTTAATAATCACAGCTGGTTTTAAAAAATAGATTTCAAGGGTATAGAGAGAAAAAATATTAAACATGTACAGTGGAACTTGTTAGAATTTCAGTTCAAAACCTAACAGTAATTAAAACCTCTCTAATAATTTTTTTATCTGATTCTAATCCTGTTAAATAGTTGAAAATAATATAAAAACTGCACCTTTTTGAAATAGTGACACAAACACACTCCAAAGTGACATTTTTGTTTCATCAGTTGTCAGCTGGTGACTGCTGCAATTTTCAAATCAGATGATCTAATTCTGTCCCAGCATTATTTCACTTTTAAAAAAATGAGTTTATGAAATGCAGTAATTAATACCAAAAGGTGATTCCATACTTAGTCATTAGTATCTTTTAAGTTACTCCCCGGTATTTCTTTAGAGATGTAATCAGATATGATGCTCTTCATTAAAATCACCAGGAAATATTTATATATTCTGTTTTCAAGATGTATTTTTAAAATGATGATACTTAAAATACATTGGTAACTGAATAACCAAGTTACAGAACAAGATTATAGATGATTCCATGTCTGTATGAAATATATGTATGTGGGTACATGCACGTTACGATTGTTTTAATATATGCATGGGAAGAATCTGAAAGAATAAACACCACACAGTTAGCAATGGCTCTAAAGGACTCAGATTGCAGGAGACCCATTCTCTAAGGAATGTATTTTCATAACATTTATTCCATAAAGACTAAAGTGATATTTGATGCCCTTCCTGATCATACTGGCCAACAGTGTGCATATACTGCTTGCATTCCTACATCACCACACACACACGCACCAAGGGACTATATTAGAAGATCACTAACCTGCAATAAAGATGCAGAGCAAGGCTTAGATAATAAAGAAGAATCACAGGTGTCATCCTTTTTTGCCTCTTACATTTTAATCCAGCCTAAAGTAGCCATAAATCCCAATCCTGCTGACCCATCCTATCCTGTTCTGAACCCTCTGACCCCTCCTCTGCCAGCCCGCTTCCCAAGCGGCGCACTATAGCAGTGCGCCACCAGGCCGGCCCCATGCCTCTTACATTTTCATCCAGCCTAAAGTAGCCGTACATCCCAATCCTGCTGACCCATCCTATCCTGTTCTGAACCCTCTGACCCCTCCTCTGCCAGCCTCAGAAGCCCTGGCTTTGTAACATTCACCTTCATCTCATTTCTAATTTAAAGACCTTGGTGTTAACATGTAGTCTGTTGTGTTTGAACCTTGGTTCGGTTTATTCCTATGGCCCAGATATGTCTGTCGGAATTCTTCCTCTTGGCTCCAGCCCAATTCCTGAGCCCATCTGCTCTGCTGGTGGTGGCTGGGGCAAAGGATGCCTTGCCTAGCAGCGTGGGTGAGCTGTCAGGGAGGGAGAGGGATCTAAGTGCCTAAGAGCCAGCAGCCTGGCAAATATGCAGCAGAGACTGAAAATTATTCTTGGGGGGAGCATAAGCAAAGCACAGTGACATCATTTATGTGAAAGACATAAACAATGTAAAGACGAAAGAACGGGAGGTTGCTGTCTGATGTGGCTTTTGTAAATCCAGGCTCGGTACACATCTTTAAGTCTAATAATTAAAAAAAGACCTAGAGCTCTCCATGAGTTAAGGAAAGACAAAGACAGCATGCACAATGTGTCACTAATCTCCCTAATAGGGAAGCGTGGAAAAGGAATGCATGCAAACTTTGCAGATAAAACATGACAGAACAGAGGGGTTGAGCCCTGAGAGGGTGCCCCAAAGCAGCAGGGAAGTCTTCAAAGACCATGCCATGCTGAGAAGTTGACCCTTTGGGAGCCACTGACACAGGACAGAAGGTAAGCTTGTTGACAATCTAGACCCCCTTTTTTTTTGAAACCCTCCGCAGCATACAAATAGAACTGGGCCAAAGTCAAGACACAATCATGACAAAAAAAGCCTTTGCCCTCACCCTCTGTGGGAGAAGTTCACGGATGATCAGCAGTGTTGTGGTGAGGGGCCCGCGGCTCTGAAACATTCATAAGTCATAAACTTGAACTCTGGTGAGAACTGTCATCCTTTCCCCTGGAAACTGAGTCTACACACACTCACTCAGAAATTTGCACAGT